AGAGAGAGAGAGAGAGAGAGAGAGAGAGAGAGAGAGAAGTTTACTATCAAGGAAATGGCTTACCAAGTTGCAGGTCCCCAGTAGAAGAGAGAGAGTCCCTCCAACATGTCCATCATAATGGGAGCAGACCACACCCCCAAGGAAGCATCCCTTTAATTGATTGGCTGCTCATAGACACTCATCAGAATCCACCATAAGAATAAGCATATCTCAGCTGCTAAACCTCTGGAAACCCCAGCCTTTCCAAGCTGACACAGAAACCTTCCACTACAGTTCACCCTCGTCAACTTGAAACCTATAAACTATATACATAATCTCTCAAAAAAGAAAATTGTGAAGTCATACTTGTGCTTAACATGACATAAGTAAAACATGTACAACCAAAAATGCATTGGCCCCATTTACATATTATATGTGACAAATGAGCAAAGCAAAATTAGTTGATGCACACAAACAAAACAAAACAATATATTCATGTAAATGTCCAATGGGCACATTCTGCAAGCCAGTCTCTTGCCCATAGGCACACAGCCTTACTCAGTCTATGGGCCTGGAGTCCATAGTTGCTGTCTTTACATGCTGCACCTCTGCCACTGTCTTTGGTGTCACCACTTTCCCAGATAGGGATCCCATGCTCTACTCCTGCTCCTCCTTAATGATGGTCCTGGGATTGTCTGTTCCCGAAATGAATGATAACTACTCCCCCTTTTAGTTACATATCTTCTACAATAACAGTTTTGACACTCATAATTAACCCTGCTAACAATGAATCATAAAACTAACAACTGAAATCATAAAATCCTATCAGCATCAGTCCCCACCTCTGTCGCCAGACAAATGTGGAAAAGAGAAAAACTAGTCCGTGAGGATTCGACTATTTCCCCTCATTCAAAAACAAAGCACACTCATGAAAGCTTGGAAACCAGCCACTTCATGATTTTATAATCTCCTATTTTTTTTATAGCCAATGTCTATATTGCCCATCCCTATCAAACCAGTAAACTGAGGAGAAAAGCATATTCTGTGATATGAAGAATCTTCCATTCTGATTGGAATTTTGAGCAACTGCATTCATAAGCAAAAGTCCAGTCCATCAAATTGTAGTAAGTGACACTTGCTCAGAGTATTAAACGTCCTTAGCTTCATCCAGTCAGACTCTCGTCAGCTCAAGCCTAGCCAACCAATCAAACTGCTGCAAGTTTGGGAGTTCTCACACACCTCCCTGCATTTCAAATCAGCTGCCCCTTCACTTTCAGCTCTAGCCCCCATGGGCTATGCCAATGCCCGTGGGCTCAGGAGTTCACACAACTCCCTAAACTTCAGACTACTCAATTTTCCTGCTCCTCCGATGTCAGCCAGTGCCAAAAGAACAGGCCCAAACTTAACCGGAGGCTTTATTGCTACTTTTCCCCCAATTCCACTCACATGTAGACCCAGGTGGTCACCAGTGAGCATACAGCTTTCCAGTTCTTTTTGACTTTCAATCCTAGAAAGGTATTTTCTCTGATGGACTGACTTTCTTTGCTTTGATGCTTTTAAAACTTAAAACCCCAACTGTTTTGATTTTTCTCTGCTGAATCTCCAGTTCTCCCTGCAGTTCTAGGTTGGTCTGCATGTCTTTTCAAACGCAAATGTCCCAATTCTGAAGGTTCTGGGTGGGCTCAGGAGTCTACCTAAAGTTTTCTGAAGCCTTGAGTTAAGAAGCCCTTTTTTTCTGGGCAAATGCTAGTACCCCTATTAGCTAATCCAATCAAGTCTAAGCTGAAGGTGTACTTAAAAGTGCTCTGTAATCATCACACCCAATATTTATTTCCATCACCCAAGTATGTCTATTTACAATTGTAGACACCAGAAACCTAAAACACTCAAGATCAATCTCTTTCTCTACCTTTCATATGCATATGACCATGGGAAGGGTGGATTCTAATAGGCCCTGGCTACAGAGTAGCTCTCCTTTTTAACCAGCATGTCATCAGTGCCAGGCAACTCCAGAAACTATGGCTCTCCCTCCACTGAAATATTTTATCACTTGCCCCTTGGTTCTTTCTCTTACAAAACCTCACGATTTCATAGATCTGGAGCCACTGCAATGAACCCTACTCCCAGCACCAACTTCTTAAACCAAATTGGAACCATGTCTGACTTCCTCTGACTCCACAAAAGGGAAAAAGGACCAAACCCAAAATCTGCCCAAGGCTGATTCCTATGAAGCAGATGTTAGGCATGCTTTCACTTTGTATCAGTGCATTTTTAGTCAGACTTGAGAACCAATTTAGAAAAATCATTCTTATGATTTTGTTTCAGTCACTTGGTACCACATGTCTTGCATCAGGTTTTCTAGAAATGCAAAACCAGTGAAACATATATATGTATATATATAGAGAATTGTTGTTAAATGCCGCCCAGTCAATTCCAACCCATAGCGACCCTGCATTGGGTTTCCAAGGAGCAGCTAGTGAGCTTGAACCACTGAACTTGCAGTTCAAATGACTTTGCAGTCTGGCGCATTAACCCACAGTGCCACACCCAATATATATTGTTGTTGTTGTTGTTGTTGTTAGGTGTCATTGAGTCAGTACCGACTCATAGTGACCCTATGTACAACAGAATGAAACACTGCCAGATCCTGGTCCAACCTCACAATTGTTGCCACACTTGAGCCCATTTATTCTGCCACTTTGCCAATCCATCTCATTGGGGGTCTTCCTCTTTTTCTGTGACCCTCCACCTTACCAAACATGATATCCTATCCAGCGACTGGTCCCTCCTGACAATATGTCCAAAATATGAAAGACCAAGCCTTTGGCCATCCTGGCCTCCAAGGAGCACTCTTAGCTGCACTTCTTCCAACACAGATCTATTGCTTCTTTTGGCAGCCCATGGTACCCTTAATAATCTCCTCTAACACCGTAACTCAAATGCATCAATTCTTCTAGAGTCTTCCTTATCCACTGTTCAGCTTTCACATGCATATGAATGAGGTTATTGAAAACTCCATGGATTGGGTCAGGTGCACCTTAGTCCTCAGGCTGACATCTTTGCTCTTCAACACTTTAAAAAGGTCTGATGCAGCAGATTTGCCTAATGTAATAATACATTGTTTGATTTCTTGACTGCTGCTTCCATGTGTGTTGATAGTTGATCCAAGAAGAATGAAGTCCTTGACAACTTCAATCTTTTCTACATTGGTAAGAATGTTGTTTATTGGTCCAGTGGTGAGGATTTTTGTTTTCTTTACATTGAGATGCAATCTATACCAAAGGCTGTGCTCTTTGATCTTCATCAGTATATATTTTAAGCCCTCTTCACTTTCAGCAAGCAAGGTTGTATCATCTGCATATTGTAGGTTGTTAATGAGTCTTCCTCCAATCCTGATGCCACATTTTTCTTCATATAACCCAGCTTCTGGGATTATTTGCTCAGCATACAGGTTGAACAAATATGGTTAAAGACTACAACCCTATTGCACACCTTTCTTAATTTTAAACCATTCAGTGTTCCCATGTTCTGTTCGTACAACTGTCTCTTGGTCCAGGTACAAATTCCTCATGAGTACAATTAAGTGTTCTGGAATACTTATACTTTGTGATATTGGCCATAGCGTGTCATGATCCACACAATTGAAAGTGTTTGCATAGTCAATAAAGCACAGGTAAACATATTTCTGATATTCTCTGCTTTCAGCTAAGATCCATCAGATATCACCAATGATATACCTCATTCCATGTCCTCTTCTGAACCCAGCTTGAACCTCTGGAAGTTCTCTGTCAATGTATGCTTGCAGCCGTTTCTGTATTACCTTTAGTAAAACTTTACTCCCATGGGATATCAAATTGTCTGATGATTTGTCCGATGATTTTGTCCGACGATTTCCACATTCTGTTGGGTCACCTCTCTTTTGAGCGGGCATAAATATGGATCTCTTTCAATCAGTTGGCCAGATAGTCGTCTTCCAAATTTCTTGGCAGAGATGAGTGAGTGCCTCCAGTGCTGCCTCACTATCTTGAAAGATTTCAAAGTTTATCCCATCAATTTCTGGTGCCTTGATCTTTGCCAATTCTTTCAATGCACCTTGGACTTCCTCCTTCAGTATCATTGGCTCTGGATCATATATTACCTCTTGAAACCGTTGACACAAAACCCTAACCATTATAGCACCCAACAAAGTTCCTAGCACACAGTAGATGCTCAGTAAATATCAGTCTCTGGTCCTGTTGTGGCACTATAGGATAAGCACCGGATTGCTAAGTGCAAAGTCCGAGGTTCAAACACAGCAGTTGCGCCTTGACAATTCTATACAGAGTCATTATGAGTCAGAACTTAACAACAGTAACGTACCCTCTAGTCTTCCCTATCCTTTTCTAACTTGTTCATCTCCCTCATAATCTGGAAGAATAGTAGAAAAAGATTAAGGTAATTGGGGTTCCACAAACCATTTTTAGTCACATGACTTTGGATCAATTGTTTTGCCTTCTTGCATACATTTCTTTTTCATAAAAAGTTTTGTTAGAAGGATCAAACAGAATGTTGGATGGGTAAGACTTTTTAAAATCATGTTGTATTCTCTCAGTGTAAGGTGTTGCTATTGTTCACAATCATTTATCAATAACTGATCATTGGAAAACAGGTAAGAAAAGCCCAGTAAATTTAGTATTGAAAAACTGGTCCGTGTGCCCCAGGGAAACACACTGACCCGAGCATTTGGTCAAAGAGCTCCTGGACTCCAGGTTTACATACAATTGCAGTGGTTCAGAATCCTTGTGTTGCCAACGACTCACGCTCCTCCTCTAATTTCTTCCAGGAATTTCTATTACATCACCATGTTGCGGGATCCAGTGTCGCGTTACCTGAGCGAGTGGAAACACGTCCAGAGGGGGGCCACGTGGAAAACTTCTCTCCACATGTGTGATGGGAGAAGCCCCACGCCTGATGAGCTACCGACCTGCTACCCTGGGGACGACTGGTCTGGGGTCAGTTTGCGAGAGTTTATGGACTGCAGCTACAACCTGGCCAACAACCGCCAGGTGCGCATGCTGGCCGATCTCAGCCTGGTGGGATGCTACAACTTGACTTTCATGAATGAGAATGAAAGAAACACCATCCTGTTACAGAGCGCAAAAAACAACCTGAAGAACATGGCCTTCTTTGGGCTCACCGAATTCCAGAGGAAGACACAGTTTCTGTTTGAGAGGACATTCAACCTCAAATTCATCTCTCCCTTCACGCAGTTCAACATCACACGGGCATCCAACGTGGAGATCAACGAGGGCGCGCGCCGGCGCATTGAGGAGCTAAACTTCCTGGACATGCAGCTTTATGAGTATGCGAAAGATCTTTTCCAGCAGCGCTACCACCACACCAAGCAGCTAGAACACCAGAGGGACCGGCAAAAGAGGCGATTGGAGCGAAGGCTGCTACGGGAGCACAGGGGTCTCATGTGGCCCAAAGACGACGGTGCCTCAGAAGGGGCAGTCACTGAGGACTACAACAGCCAGGTGGTGAGATGGTGACCCCCGGCCCTCTCCTCTCCCTGAAGGGGAGGACATGCAAGCGCACTGACCTTTGGTGCATTACCTTAGAGTGAGGAAGGCCGGCTGGCTGGATGTGACCTGATTTGAACATCTGCTTCTTCTTTGTCTTCATTTGTGTCCAACTGGAGATTATCTGTCTTGCTTTGCTTTTTTTCCCTGACATTTTTCAATCCATTTTATCATTATAGGGTAGGAGAGCATCCCACATAGGCCACCCAAGAAGGTCTGAAAGGAGACAATCCCTGCCTGTCAGCTTGACAACAGCACAGGCTGGAGTTGGGGTAACTGGAACTTAAGAGAGGCACAGAGGAAAAGCCAGATGACATCTTGGATGTTCTGTTGAATGAACTCATGTGTCTCTGTAATGGAACTGTTTGTGTATTTAAAGAGAGGAGAGAGAGACCTATTAAGTATTTAAATGAGTTTTAAGCCAAGTCATATTTGGGGGTTGGTGTTCATCTTTGCACTCTATTAAATGTGGTTTAAATCCTAGGTAGAATGATGTGTTTTGCCATCATAAAGAAAACATCCCTACAATTGGCCATTGCTAGAGACCCACAACCTGTAAAAATCTCTGCACCGTAGCCCTAAACCATGGGGACGAGGAGTGGCTTCAGGACTGGAGGTTGTGGCCCCTGAAAAATAAGGGACATTGGTGCTGGCATTAGGAGAAGACTATGTCTAGCCTTTTCAAACCTTGGGTTTTAAAGGAGAATTTCAGACTTTTATCTTTGTAGAATAGTCATACTCTTTGATATGGAACAGACAAAAAAGGATTCAGGCCTAAGGAAAAGAGTTTAGCTCAGATGTATACAAAATGTATCTCTTGGTGCTGGTGAGGGTGTGCTGTGGAGTCGGTTCCGACTCATGGAGACCCTGCATAGGGTTTCTGAGTCTATAAATCTTTGTTGTTGTTGTTATGTGCCGTGGAGTCGGTTCCGACCCGTAACAACCCTGCACAGGGTTTCTGAGGCTGTAAATCTTTACGGGAGCAGAAAGCCTCATCTTTCTCCACGGAACAGCTGGTAGTTTCGAACTGCTGACCTTGCATTTCACAGCCAGATTCGTAATCACTACACTACCAGAGCTCCTTACGGGAGTAGAAAGCCTCATCTTTCTCCCTCAGAACAGCTGGTAGTTCAAACTGCTGACCTTGAGGCTAGCAGCCCAACTTGTAACCACTACGCTACCAGAGCTCCTTACAAAATGTATCTGGAGGTCAATAAATGAATACCAGCTCTAACATAGGGCAGGGGACTTGGAATACCATGAATGGGATGATTATCCTAGAGGTTAAGACAGACTCTACCTCCCAACAGCCTGACTATTTCTACCCCATAACCTTTGATGTCACCTTACACCTTTACTGTGAACAAACCCAGGTAGCCAGCAAGCTGGGCTAGTGTGCATCAAACTGGACTCCCCTCCCCCTGAAAAAGTGCTGCTTTGCTAAGTGCTTCTCATCTTCACCTTAAATGTTCATTAAATATAAAGGGAGAAGGATGGAAGAGGAAGTAGAAAGTATCTAGTATTGAGTGAAAGGTTTCGATTGGGTAGAAAGTTTCACAATGCACCGATAATATCAATTCCTTCCGTGAGCTGAACTCTAAAGAAACCTCAAATCATATTGAAAGGCCTGTTTCATTGATACTAAATGTATTTGGTGTGTAAGCCAGCTTTGTGATGGCCACGTCTCAGCCTCCAGACTGCTCTCCGGGACTGAGAGTCAGTCATTCCACAAACAGTCATGGACTGCTTACCTGTCCTCCTTCCTCACCAGCATCTCTCTCAGAATAAGTCTTTACGTGTTCTCAGCTTCCTCAGTCACACAAGAGAAGGCAAGCTTGACGGCATGCCTTACGTCAGGAAGTAGGAGAGCTGTTTCCCACACCTTAAATCTTTCCCATACAATAATGATTTGTTCCTGCTTCATAGAGAAAAGTGAAGCCCGGACTTGACAAGTAGCTTCTTCACAAATTACAAGCTAGGTGTAGTTGACTGCACAATGCGAGCTCTTTTTCACAGCATCGTGCCGTCCATATGGGGTAAGGGCTGATGCTGCCACCAGCTTCCTGCCAATCATGCATGAAGCCAGCTCTTCTTGCCTAGAAGGGTTTGTCTCTAAGTCATTTGATGGCAGCACCAAGCTAACAGTGTCCAGAGCTGTGCTGCCTTGGGTAAGTCCAGGCCCCTCTACATCTCTGACTTATCAATGAGCTGAGAGATTAATGACACTTCACACAATTGGACTTTTTTGAGATTTATACTGGAGTGAGCTAAAAGGGGCCATGTAAATATTGCTCGTTAGTTGGTAGAAATTAGGTGGACAAGATATGAGTGTCTCCCTTGTAGATGATCAGTTTCTGAGGTAGGGAGGGAAGGCACGTTGCAGCTGAGATAAATGAGCAACCCACTGTGTATCTTCAGATTTTCATTTTTAGGATGTAATGTTCTACCTAGAATGGCAGGACTGCAAACTATACTTTTGTCTGCCACTGTGAGACACACACACACACACACACAGGCCTGCATGCACATGCACAAACACAATAACAACTGGTGTTTTGTCATGTGGAAAATCCAAACAAGTTAGAAAGCATTCCGATTGTTTCTTTTCAACTCACTCTAAAATTTTGGCAGGGAATCCAGGCAGTGCTGAGACTTGGAGACAGCCACTGCTAACTTCACACTGTTCCTTAGGCACCTCGGGATTTATATCAAAAGGCTTTCTACTGCCTTACTGCTGAAGGCTTGATGTATGGAACTCCACTTGAGACGAGATAGGAGATCGTTCAGAGCCCAAACCATCTCTTTGTGTTGGCCTGAGGCCACAGCTGAGCAAATTAAAAAGACTGACATGGGCTTCCTCCTCATATCATTTCATTCTAAAGCGACATGTTTGTCATCTCCCTGGGGTCCCAGGTTGATAGAAATGATGAGGTAGGGGTGGGGTTTGCTCTCTGAAAGCTGACTGCAGTTACATGCTGAGTGAGGCTGAGGGAGGGAGGCCAACAGAAGGTGCCTAGGCATTAGGACCCATGGGGAATCCATAGCTTTATGATTCCAAACCAAATCAACTCCAGATACATCAGTGTCAAAAGACCAAGAAGAGGTGAAAAATTCCCCGGGGAGTTCCAGGCCCTATAAATCCCCATACTTTCCTGGGGGGTAGTTCCTCACTTTTCTTGTCGTTGTCAGCCCCAGTCATCAATTTGAGATGAGGTACCCTTATGTATATGTACATGTGCGTGTGTGCACACGTCTTTAAATCATTTTTTAAGAATTAAGATACATCATGGGGTCCTGGTACGGCACTGTAGAATAAGTGCTGATTACTAACCACAAGTTCAGTGGTTTGAACCCACCAGCTGCTTCTCAGAAACCCTATACATTGCCGCCATGAGTGGAAACTGACGTGAAAACACGTAACAACAGCAAACAACATATTGAATAGGGCTGACATTTGGCTACATTTACAGAGAGACTTTAAATAAGACTGACTTAATTAAATATAAATAGGATATGCCTTTATTATTGATTGCTATGTACCTTCAAATATTTGGGGAGTTAACAACACTATTACTAAACCCACAATGTGAAAATTAGTATTGGTAAAAACTATCAGTCTTGAATACTGAAAAGAATTAGAAAATATTTCAAATGTTTATCAATATCATTCATTTCATCACTGGTAGAATTTGTTTGTGGAAGTATATGATTTACACTCCAGACTCGATATTGGTATTTAATGCATTTTTAATCACTTTTACATTTAGTGTCTCATCTGATTATTGTTACATTTTTATATATTAAATATGATCTCTGTTCACCAACCCTTCATTCATCATCCCATTTGACCATTTTAAATGAAGTTGTAAAGATGTTGAATGATTTCCCCAAGATTCAGGTTTAGCAAGAAAATTGTTTAGTCTGTCTTCGGATTTCACAGCTATTCCTACAACTTTATGTTGCTTAGCATCACTATTGGGATTAGATATTGTAAGAATAAAAAAAATCTAAATTTTTCTTCATCTATATTTTTCTGTGGATCTATAGTGATTCAGAATGTGTCATGTAGCTTAGTGAAGGTGACCCTTCAGGATAGAAGCAACGGCATAAACACTTAAATGCTTCTAGCCGGATAGCCACCCCATCCAATGCAAACAGTATCCAAGATGAAGAGTGGGAGGCTATGCTTACAGCGCCTGAGGGTAGCTCACTGTTAGAAATACACAGAATCGATAGCTACCTGAATAGTGAGCTTGAGGGGTGATCAATAAGATTCCTGCTCAAAAGAAAGAAAGAAAAGAAAAAAAATCCCCCTTATCTCTCTACCTCCTTTTCTTAGGTTCTTGTAATTCTGTCAGCAACTTACTGCTTTGGTTCTTGAAGGTTTTATTTAGTGTTAAATGAGGCCTTTTGCACATTTGGCCAGTAAGAAATAATGCTTTAAGCAGTCCTATAGTAACATCATCACACAGAGAGTTTATCTGATTCCCTTCCCAGCCATGGCCTGTAGCTGAGATGGAAGGCCTGTGTAATGGAATCATGCAGGGGTAGGACTTAGGGAGAGATAAGTGTAACTCTAGAGGCAAGTAGGGTTCTTAAAAGGGAGGCATCTTTCAAAGGTGAAATTAAACATATGTCAGGCATTCTTGAAAAGGTACAGTTTCTGTCCTTAGGAACAAGGGCAGACTGGAGGCGTTATTCATTTGGTCACTTCAAAGATCAGAAAAGGGAGCAAGACCTGTGAGGCAGGACCAGAGCATTTAGGAAGTGAAGAAAGGCAGACTGAGCTGGGGGAGCTGAATTAAAGAGAAGAAAGATAGATTTGACATAGGCCAAGAATACTGTGATCTGATCTTACTTGTGTCTACCAGCATTCCCTTTCGGTAGACGTTGTGCCTCTCCGGGCTAGGTATCAGGGCTGGTGGAGTCTGAGGACTCTATACATTCCATGTTACCACCCAAGGGAATGC